TTGATTCAGCATGGCAGGGAACTACAAAAGGGTATGAATAATGAGAAGAAGCTATACAAGGTATGAATACCAGAAGGCCAGAATCATTCCTTGGGAACCATCTTGGAAGATGGGTACCACAGTACCTTTATAAAAAATGAATGAACATATATATGTGGTTCTACTTCTGGACTTAATTCAGTTCCACTGATCTATATTTTTGTTTTTATGCCAATATCAGACTATATAAGTATTACTGCAGTTTTAGAGTAAGTCTTGAAATCAGATATTACAAGACTTTGTTGTTCTTTTCCAAAACCATGTTAGCTACTCTGAATTATTTGTACTTTCATATAAATATTAAGGTTATTTTGTCAGTTTCTATAAAAAAACCTTCTGATTGAGATTGCATTTAGTCTACAGATAAACATGAAGAGAATTTACAACTTAACAATATGAGCAAATCTTAATATAATACACCATATCTATTAAGTTTTTAATTTCTCTCAGCCATATTTTGTATCAATATATAAAACTTGCACTTACTTTGTTAAATTCATCTATAAGTAGTTTATTTCTTATTGGATGCTGTAAGTGGTATTATTTTTTACATCTCATTTTTCAGCTCTTTGCCTATATATAGAAATGTAGTCACACATCACTTAACAACAAGGATACGTTCTGAGAAATGTGTCATTAGCAATTATGTCTTTGTACTGTAATATAGAGTGTATTTACAGAAACCTAGATGGTATAGCCTACTACACCTGGGCTATGTATCATACAGCAGCCTATTGCTTCTAGGCCACAAACCTGTACAACATGTTACTGCACTGAATTATGTGGGCCATTTTAACGTAATGGTAAATATATGTGTATCTAAACATATAATAGGTACCATAAAAATACAGTATTATAATCTTATGATAGACCACCATTGTGCACACCATCCACCATTGACCAAAACGTTGTATGGAACATGAGATCCATTGCTTTATTTCTGTCAACCTTTTATCCTGCAACCTTGCTAAATTCACTTATTAGTCTGGTAGCTTTTTCGTATATTCCTTAGGATTTTCTACATACAGGATTATGTCATCTGTGAATAAAGACAGTTTTACTTCTTCCCTTTACATAGGCTAGATAGAACCTACTGTGCCTAGCTTAGTACAATATTGAATAGAAGTGGTGAAAGTAGACATATTGATAGAATAAAAAGAAAAGCCATATGGCATCAGTAGATGCAGAAACCTAAAATGCTAACTGCTTAAAATAAAGATTTTTTTTTTTTTTTAGTCAGGGTCATGCTCTGTCTCAGTGGCATTAATCATAGCTCACTTGTAACCACCAACTCCTGAGCTCAAGTGATCCTCCCACCTCAGTCTCCCAAGTAGCTAGGACTACAGGCACATGCCCCCACACCTGGCTAATTTTTTTTATTATTATTATTCTTTGTAGAGATAGGGTCTTGCTATATTGCCCAGGCTGGACTCAAACTCCTGGCCTCAAAGCATCCTCCCACCTTGGCCTCCCAAAGTGCTGGGATTACAGGCGTGAGCCACCGCACCTGGCCATAGGTAGGGAGTCTTAATCCAGGGCTCCCAGCACTAGTATGGGGGGAAAAATATATATCCTTTTTTCCACTAACATCTGAATGAAATTTAGTATTTCCTTCCATTTTGAATGCAACCAATAAACCACAATAGTAATATTAGCAACTGTGACTTTATTACCAATAGATGTTATACTCACTTTTCTGTGTCCTTATTTAAAGTTTGTTTCTTGAAGCAACAGTTAGATCTTGCTTTTTTTGTTCTTGCTTTTGAATTGAAATGTTTAGACAGTTTACATTTAATGTAATGATATGATTTCCTTTTATTTCTACCATCCTGTTATTTGTTTTGTATTTGTCCCATCTTTTACTTGCTCCATTTTGCTTGCTTGTTTGCATTTTTCATGCTTTCTTTTGGATGAGCTGAGATTTAGGGTTTTTTAATATTTCATTTTATCTCAACTTTTGGATTATTAGTTATACCTTCTTTTTATTTAGTGGTTGCTCTAGGACTTACAATAAACATCTTTAACATATGGCAATTCACTTTCAAATAATATTGTATTACTTAAAATATAATCTAAGAACCTTCTGTATGCTTACATTTCTCTCCTTTTCTTCTGCTATCGTTGCAATATATTTTACTTATACATGTGCTGTAAATCGTATGATGTTATTTTTGCTTTAAGTGGTAAAAGAAAAAGTTTTAGATTTCTTTTTTTAATTTTTTTTATTTCATCATATTATGGGGGTATAAATGTTCAGGTTATGTATATTGCCCTTGACCCACCCAAGTCAGAGCTTCAAGCGTGTCCATCCTCCAAATGATGCGTACCACACCAATACATTTGTATATACCCAACCTCTCCCCACTGCTCCCATCTGCCCGACATCCGATGAATATTATTACTGTATATGCACTTAAGTGTTGATCAGTTAACACCAATTTGATGGTTATAGATTTATTCTTATTCACCATTTTGAGTGTATGCTGGTGAACTTATTTCCCCCACCCCAGCAATTTCTAAAATTGTGATTAGAAAAATATCTTTATTCTAATTTATGAATGGTATATTCATTGTATTTAGTATTCTAGGTTGACCTTTTTTTTTTCTTTAAGCATTTTAAAGTTCCATTTTCTACTGTCTTGCATAACTTCTGAAGTCTCCATATTAACTGTTCCTAACTATATTTCTATCTAAACTTCTTTTCCTCTGGCTTCTTGTAAGATTTTTCTTTTGGACAGCTTTTTAGGACTTTGATTATGTGCTTTGCTTTGGTTTTCTTTGGTTTATACTCCTTGAGGAGGTGGCTCATTGAATTTCTTGGATCTGTGGTTATATAGTTTTTATCAAATTTGGAAAATATTTTGTCATTATTACTTTAAATACTACCACTGCCCCCCTTCCAGTTATACATATATTAGACTACTTGATAGTTTGATATTGTCCTGTAGTCCTATTCTTTCTTCTTTTCTTTCTTATTCTACCCACCCCATACCCCTCCACCTTGCTTTTTTTCTTCCTTTTCTCCTCTCTTCCTCCCACCACTTTCCCTTATTCTCATCACCTTATTTAACTATGTTTAGCTTTGGGTGCTTTCAATTGCTGTGTCTTCAGATCCTCTGAATTATCCTTCTGTAGTAATTAATACATTGTTAATCTTATCCAATGATATTTCCATTACAGATAGTGTTTTTGAATACTAGAAGTTCTTTTTTGGTTCTCTTTCTTAGGTCTACCATTTCTCTCTTCATTATGTTTTCTTTGAAATCCTTGAGCATATTTATAATTGAAGTTTTAGGGTCCTCATTGACTAATTGGATCAACTCACTTCTGTTTCAGTTGACTTATTTCACCCTGGTTTCAGGTCATATTTCCTTTCTTCTTCATGTGTCTATTAATTTTTGATTGGATGCTAGACATTGTTAATTTTATGTTGTTGATTGGTGAAATTTTTTTTCTTATTTTTAAAAAGAATTTTGGACTTTATTCTGACAGGCAGTTTGAGTTATTTGTACATCAATTCCATGTTTTTGAGGCTTGTTGTAAGCTTTGTTAGGAATCATCTGCAGGGGTCCTCAAACTTTTTAAACAGGGGGCCAGTTCACTGTCCCTGATACCATTGGAGAGTGCGCACTGTGGGCCGGGACGTGTCGGCTTCTAAGCAGGACAGGCAGCGAGGCAAAAACACCCAGAGGGCTGGATAAATGTGCTAGGCGGCCTGCATGTGGCCTGCAGGCCGTAGTTTGAGGACGCCTGATCTGTAGTATCATTTACTCTAGGGCTTATTTATCCCTGCTGCTGAAGTATAAATCTTCTTAGGTTTCTAGTGAATTCCTGGCTTTTCAAGAAGGAAGATTTTTCTAGTCAGAACCATGTGAACCCTGGGAATTGTTCCACATATAGATCTCCATTTTTTCTTTGCCTTACCTCGTGGAGTTTCAATCTCTGTGCCCAGCATTCTTGTTTGGCCACAGACTGAAGTGGATCCCTGTGCAGATTCTGGAACTTTCAGTGCATAACTCTCACTTCTCTGGTATACTTCTAAGCTCTGCTTATTTCTTCCCTGCACCACAGTCTGAAAAGTGCCTCTAGGCAGAAAACCAGGGAAGCTAGGTTTCACTTTATTTCTTTTGTAAATCTCAGAAATTATAGTCCTGTACTGTTTATTGTCCAATGTCTAAAAACAGTTTCATATTTTTTGTTCGATGTTCTAGTTATTACTGCGAGATGAAAAGTCTATTCCTAATTTCTCCATCATGGCCATTGGAAATTATGTCCTGCCTTTTTGCCTTTTAAGATACCATGGAGATAAAAAATAAAGTTTATTCCTTTTATTTTCTCTAGCATTTTGGGCCTTATAGAATATTTTACCTGCCTATAGAGTTTAACAGTTTCTTCTGACCTGTTTGCATACTAATAATTTTCAAGGTGACATTTTACATGATTCACCTGTAATACAACAATGAACAAAATAGTATAGAATTACTGTAGGATATTTTAAGCAAATAAAATGGGATGTACGTTATATTAAAGTTCATGAGTGAACATTTCGGAAAATGGGATGTACGTTATATTAAAGTTCATGAGTGAACATTTCGGAAAATGTATATAGATTGTTTAATGAAAGCTTTGCCAAGAATTGGGTTCATGGTAATAATTCCAAGATAACTATTAGTTTTAGTCATCTTGCTTTCAGATCAAACATTCTTAAAAGTAACATGGATAGGGTAATAATTGCCTACTCAAAGATGATCTTCAGTGAATTAAAATGTCTGGCAATAGTTTTATAAACTTGTTAAACATCTATGTGGTTTTTGCTGTGTAGCCTCTGTTGTGCCCTTGATAGTCTTACAGGGAAAACAAAACGAAACCAAACAAAATCTCATATTTGGCTTAATACTTGTTCATTCTTGGTATGTTCTTAGCTTATTTGTTAATCTTTGATTTTTATTTTTTGTTTTCAGATTATCAGTATTTAAACTGTCCACATCATGCGCGAGTACAAGCTAGTGGTCCTTGGTTCAGGAGGTGTTGGGAAGTCTGCTCTGGTAAGTTAGCCACCTAACTACATCTAATTAGTATAATGCAAGATGAACTTTGACATTTGCTTGCTTTTAGACTTCTAGTCACTAAAGGAAAAAGGTGGCATTATTTTTATATAACTAGTGTCTGACCCACAAAGGACAGGAAATCATTTAGTAACCACAGACGTGTAGTTTTATAATGCTGACTTATTTATTCTTTCATTTACCAGATATTTATTGGCCTCACATGTCAAGCACCAATGCTCATGATTCAAAGAGGAATAAGATTGTTCTTATTTTTAAGGAATTTACATTCCAGTAGGGGAAACTGATTATTACAGATTCTAATGTGATAGTTCCTCCCCTGCCTCCACCCTACACTTACCAGGAAAGAAGGTTATTTTTGTATACATGCTGTATTAATTCAGTAAATAATTATTGAGCTTCTATACTGTCAGACTCTAGGATCACAACGGTGAACAAAAACAGTCACAATCTCTCATAGAGCTCACATTATAGAGGAGGAAAAGTGATAAGTATACAGTGAAACAGAGAACTACCGGATTATAATTGTGAGAGAAATACCCTGAAAGAAAAATACAGAGTAATTTAGAAGAGAGGCAGAGTGGATGTAAGAGACAAATTGGGAATTAATGCAGTACACCAGATTATTGTTTATGAAAGATTGGGTTAGAGCCATGGCAGTGAAGAAAAGACAGGTAGATGCTTGAGGATTGAATAGGTGATAGGACAAACATAATTTAGTGCTGGATTGATATGAGGACTAACAAAAGGAGCTGTCAAGAAAGACTCCCAAGTTTCTTATTAGAAACCTACTAATTTTATGGCTGGATAAAAAGAGAAGGGAAACATTGGAGAATGAGCAGTGAGAGTAAAAACTCAAAGAGTCATGTCAAATTTTATGTTTTTGAGATGTTCAAGTAAATATGTCCAATAAACAAATGGATCTTTAAGATACAAATTTAAAAGAGAGGCTTGTGATGTGATATTGGTGCCATCAACCTATTGATGATATTTATTTTCATGAGAATTACATTACTGTTAGGAGTGTAAATTAGTACCTCTGGAAAATGTTTGAGCATATCTGTCATTTTAGTTATATGTAACTTTGGGTTTTTTTCCTTTTTTTTTTTTTCTTTTTTCTTTTTTTAGACAAAGTCTTGCCTTATCACCAGGGCTATAGTAGAGTGCAGTGGCATCATCATAGCTCGCTGCAACTTCAAACTCCCAGGCTCAAGCGATTCTCCCACCTCAGCCTCCTGAGTAGCTGGGACTACAGGTGCATGCCACCATGCCTGGCTAATTTTTTTTTTAATTATATCTTTTTTATTATTTTTATAGAGATAAAGTCTTGCTGTGTTGCCCAGGCTGGTCTCAAACTTCTGGCCTCAAGCAATCCTTCCACCTCAGCCTCCCAAAGTGAGGAGGCTGCATTTAACAAATGGCTGGCTGCATTTATCTTTTAGTTCAGCAGTTCCCTCTCTGACAATTTATCCTACACATAAGTTCACATGTGCAAAATGACATGGTAAAGGATATTCATTGCAACAGAGACAACCTAAATGCCTACCATAAAGGGGCTAGTTAAGTAAATTTTAATACATATTCAGAGTAGACTGCTGTACAGCCATTAAAAAGAATGCAACAGGCCGGGTGCGGTGGCTCACGCCTGTAATCCTAGCTCTTGGGAGGCCGAGGCGGGACTCTGGGAGCGCAGAGGCAGGCAGATTGCTTGAGGTCAGGAGTTCAAAACCAGCCTGAGCAGAGCGAGACCCGTCTCTATTATAAATAGAAAGAAATTAATTGGCCAACTAATATATATAGAAAAAATTAGCTGGGCATGGTGGCACAGGCCTGTAGTCCCAGCTACTCGGGAGGCTGAGCAGGAGGATCGTCTGAGCCCAGGGTTTGAGGCTGCTGTGAGCTAGGCTGATGCCATGGCACTCACTCAGCCTGGGCAATAAAGTGAGACTCTGTTTCAAAAAAATAAATAATAATAAAAATAATAATAAAAAAAAAATTTTCCATCATAGTTTACATCAGGTTTGCTTGGTATATACATTCAATGGGTTTTGACAATGTATGGTATGTCTCCCATTATAGTATCACACAGGATCTATTCTAAATTTTTGTAGTTTAAATGTGAAGTATCTTTAGTTATTATATAACTAAACGAAGTCAAAACTTTCAGTCACTGGGTAACTTCAAGCATAGAATTATCTTAATTTGTTAACAAACGTTGAGAATATGCCTATATGTTAACATAAATAGTACATTTTATGTATTTATGTAAATATGTATATTAAATTTTAATGTAATTTTTCTATATTAAAAAATCCCCACCGAGAAATATATACATGAAAGAAGAATTACTAGTCAATAACAGACATGAACTGGATACCTAAGCAGTATTCTATAAGAAACATTTTATCAAATGAAACTTTAAAAATAGATGCAAAACATTCATATCATTCTCCAAACTATTTTTAAAAACAATTCCATGATGATCAGTTTTAAGACATAAGAACTACTTGTAAGCATGTGTATACAAGTTTCACATTTTACCTTTCTGTAGGATCTTCTATCGTTGGGTCATATTTTCAACAAAATTCCCTGAACAAACTGAACTGTTCTGGAGTGAGGAAAAAAAAACAAGAGGAAAGATAAGAACTTAAAAGAAAAATCAAACTTCCATGGAAGTTATTTAACCTTACAAGTTACAAAGAGTAAATAAAATTAGTGAAAATTCTGGGCAACACAACAAATGTAAGTATCATTATTATTTTTCAATATAAGTATAAATCCATAACTAAAGTACACTTATTATGAAAGGATGTGGGCACGTTAAAATTGTCATCATATTGCTGCTAACAGCCAGACTCGGCAGTGTATGCCTACAGTCCCAGTTCAGGAGGCTAAAGTAGGAGGATCACTTGAGCCCAGGAGTTTGAGGCTATAGTGAGCTATGATCTTGTCATTGCACTCCAGCCTGGGCAACAGAAACAAAAAGTACTGCTGTACTATACTGTTAAAACGTTACTTTATTATGTTTAAAATACAGGGGCGAGGCTAGGCATGGTGCCTTCACCATGTAATCCAGCACTTTGGAGGACCAACGTCGGAGGATCATTTGAGGCCAAGAGTTCAAGACCAGATTGGGCAACATAGTGGGACTAGTCTCTACAAAAATTTAAAAAACAGCCAGGTGTGATGATATATTCTTATAGTTGTACATTTTAAAAAGTCTTTCTAAATGTGAGGTAAAAGAAAGAAGGAATTTAAATTATCGAATGCCTATTATGTCCTACACATTGACTAGTCACTTTTAATTTATAATCACATTCAATTTCACATTCATCCCAGAAATAGCTATTTTTCCCATCTGCCACCTGAGATTCAGACACACATCTTCCTTATTCTAAAGCCTTACTCTTTCCATTGGAAAACATTGCCTACTCATCTTTTTCAGATATCTTACTTTTATTTCTGGATATCTATCAGTACATACTAGAAACTACATATTTGTCATTCAGAAAAATGAAGAAGTACAGAGATAATTGTAAGATATTCTTAGACAGCTTTAGAACAGGGTCTGTTCTAATGTTCTATTGCCTAAAACCAAGAATAAGAATGTGGACTGAGGTCATTTACACTTAAATTGCTCAGAGGAATACTTTATACATATTTAGCTAAGCTAAACAGATTAACTTGAATATTAAACTTAAAATTTCTTTCTCCTACTAAGCTCCTATTATTTGAAGGA